AAGAGAAATAATAAAACCACAATCCTTAAGAATTAGAATCGAAATTTTTTTCAGTTTTATTCATTAGCCAATAGGTTTATTTATACAAAGAACAAAACTTGTCTAACAATTTCTTTACATTTACAGAATAGGAAATCTAACTTATACATGAATATTAACTTTCCTAATATTTTTAAATATTGACAATCTTCTGAAAATCTTCCTTATTTCCATAATTTTGGTTGGTCATCTTGACCGTTCAATCTCGGTCGATCTCGACCTCTCGATCTCCCACTGGATTTAAAATAGTTCATAATTGTTATATGGCATGATTTGTTTTTAACATAATCATATAAAGGGAATATAAATGGTGTTTATTTATATATTAAAAAAAGAGGAAATTCAAAATTCTTTCGAAACTGCGATCTGATAACACGATGATTCGTAAAACAATGGGTTGATGAATTTTGTGGCTTCAAAGTTAGTCGTATTGGGCCGAAAATGAGAGGACCCATGAACCAAAAACGGGTCAAACAAACTTATATCGAAAACAAAAAGCCCATAGAGCCATCAAATCAGGTTTCTGTCATTACCTGAAAAACTAAATGTTTTATTTTTGTTAAATGTTAATGACACTAAATTAAAGTGATCACAAAGGCAATATATCGTGTTTACTTATGATAAGAGGAGATGTGAGAAGGTTTTCTACTTCAAAATTCTTTCGAAATCGAATTATTCTTTCGGTTTTTTTTAGTTATTATTTTAAGTTTGTACGTAAATATTCTTTTTGTTGATCAATAACTTTAACATTTTCAACTAAGAAAAAAAAGTGAGAAGGTTTTGAGAAACATTTATTTTCTTGTGTAACGATGAGATAGTTTGTTCTGATCAATTAATCAAGTGGATTTAGAGCATATTGATCCCCATGAATTAAGGGTTTTCACATTTATGACTTGAATTCGTTTAAATCCCATCACTTGTGTGTCCTGATTGTTTTAATTTTGCTACCACCTTTTTACGTTAATTTCTGGTCTAATTTAGTTTTGGTACAGCATAATTCAAAGAGAAGGCTGATATTAGTGCACTAGTACACATATTTGTGAAATGAGAATAATATAAAATTACAAATGGGCTAAAAAAGATAAGCACTAGCGAATTCTCTATTATACTTAAGCATACAATTAGTTAGCAAAAAATAGGAGACCGTTAACAACTTTCCAATTAAAATCCTACAATTGATAAAAAAAAATTAAAGGAAAAAGGGAAATGCTTTTTAACAAAGAGATGATCAGCAATCTAGCTTTAAATTATTATTATTTTTTATCTTTAATTGGTTATGCATGGTCCGCTTAAACCATATAAAGCACACAATTAGATCAAAGTTGAATACAAAGCCCAATCGATTTCAAAGTAATTTATACATACTCATCAGGCAGGGCGATTAATTACAATACTTTAAGTCAACCCAGTTTCGAAGTATGTAGAACGTCTTTATAGACGCATATTCCGGTTTTAAATTACGTATAACGTATTCTAAGTTTTTTTTTCGGTAAAGACGCTTTCTAAGTGTTTTTTTATCTTATTATATAAATGAGGATACGCACGATGAGAGCTTGACACATAAG